ATCTAGACGTTCTTATTTTGCACCAAAAGAAGGAGATGCAGCTTTTGAGCAACAAAGAACGGTCCTCTTGAAACCGGAGCAATTTCATCTCCGAGCAGTGAAATCAACACTGACTGTTGATTCAACTTTTCTCAAGCAAATCCAGTCCAGTATGTCCTCAGACCCTCTTGTTCATGATATCGAGAATAATTCTTCCAAGTCTCATGATTCTTCTAAGTTCGAGTTCAAGAATAATCTATTATATTTTGAAGGACGCCTATATGTTCCAGAAGGAAAAGCACGTTTGCGTGTTCTTCAAGCACGTCATGACTTTCCAGCAGCAGGGCACTTTGGATATAATAAGACTCTGGAACTCATATCAAGAGATTTTTGGTGGCCACAAATGTGGAAGTCAGTCAAAGACTTTGTACAATCATGTGATATTTGTTCAAGATCAAAAATTCCTCGACATCAACCTTACGGACTTCTTCAGCCATTACCTATACCAGAACAACCATGGTCTTCTGTTTCTATGGATTTCATCACAGATCTTCCAAACTCAAGATCTTATGATTCTATATTTGTGATAGTAGATCGTTTCACCAAGATGGCACATTTTATGCCATGTACAAAATCTATCACAGGTGAAGAAACAGCTAAGCTTTTCATTGATAATATCTATCGCTATCATGGATTACCTAAAGATATCATATCGGATAGGGGAACTCAATTTGTGTCGAGATTCTGGAGGACTCTTTTCAAGATTTTAAAAGTGGACATAAAGCTATCTTCAGCTTTCCATCCTCAAACTGATGGACAAACAGAGCGCGTAAACCAAGTCTTGGAACAGTATTTAAGGTGTACCATCAACTACCAACAAGATGATTGGACAAACCTTCTGCCATTGGCAGAGTTTGCTTATAATAATACGGTACATTCCTCCACGCAACAAACACCTTTCTTTGCCAATTATGGCTATCATCCACGACTTGATACTTTTGATTTTTCAAAAGTTGATAATCCTGCAGCAGAAGATATGGCAAATCGGTTGTCAGAGTTACATGCAATAATGAAGGCGCAGTTGAAGAAAGCTCAAGAACGACAAAAGATAAATGCAGATGTATATCGTAAAGAGCAACCACAACTCAACGTGGGTGATAAGGTATGGCTACTTCGTCGCAATATCAAGACCACTCGACCTTGTGACAAATTGGACTATCGTAGGCTTGGCCCCTTTTCTGTTTCTGAACAGATCAACCCAATTGCATATCGGTTACATCTACCGGAGTCAATGAAGATCCATCCTGTATTCCACGTGTCTCTTCTTGAACCATATAAGACAGTGGATATACAAGGAAGAAGACAAATGCCACCGCCTCCTATAGAAGTAGATAATAATGAAGAATTTGAGGTGGAAGAGATATTAGACTCAAGGCGGCGCCGAAATACGCTGGAATATCTTGTTCATTGGCGCGGATATGATATTAGTGAGCGCACATGGGAGCCATCCAGGAATCTAGCAAATGCATCAGCTAAAGTCAAAGTTTTTCATCAACGACATCCATCAAAACCAAGATGAAAACCTCTCTTATGAAAGAGACAAGATTGAGGCAAGATAACATTCAATTTCCTATCCTTGTTTGTAGCTTCTTTGTATTTGTGACGCTAATTAGATGGAGAGCCAACAACCAGCGGATTCAACTCAAGAACCTTCATTTGCTGACTTACCGGATGAGACATTGCGATGGTCACAACCTTCAAGACGACGCAACCGAGATGAAGACCCTCAAGAACGACATGTTCTTCCTCAAATAGATGGTGAGATACAACGCATTTGGTATCACGACCTTGGAAGAGATTCTCGATGTTTGGTGATATTATTGGAGATAGGAACGACTCCTGATGGTGTTTCAAATGTATTATTTGAAAGAAGTTATGAAGGCCTCAACAGTGATCAAATAACAGGGTGGTCTTCTCGCCCTGGAATGGGACACTATCGATGGCTAAGAGGACCCATCAACTATCTTCGAAGAGAACAAAGATCAGAGTATGTAGCAAATACAATTCGCCGCATATTAGATTTTCTCAATATATAATCACCGCTCCTCGTGGAACTCGTCCCTAGAAGGGGGGGTAATGTCACGGACATACATATAATTACCTATATGAATAGATAAAAGTATGTAAAAGTAGATAAAAGTAGGTTAATTGTGTAATATCTTCTAGAGAAGCTTCTTAAAAGCTTCATAGACGCTGCTTTGACTTTATAGGAGTCTATAGTTGACTTTTAGGCTAGAAACTTGGTCAACAAGTTAGCCATGTGCCACACATGTTGGAAGCTTAAAGAACAAGCTAACTACGTGGTCCATCCATAGAAAACTTACCTTGCAAGCAAAGGCATGTGGCCTAGAAAGTCAACATATATTGGAGGTCTTATAGAACATCGCCATGTGGCTTCTAGTTAGATAGTATATATAGAGGCAAGAGTGAAGCCCTCTTCACTCTTGTCAACTCCTTTCTTGCTTCTAGTCTAGTTTCAAGGGTCTCTAGTTTTCTTGTATTTTGGCAATAGCCATTCCAATTTCTTTCTTAATATACATATTTCTATTTTGTCCTATTTCTTTGAGAAAAGTCTCACTTACTCTTTAGCTTTCATCGAGTTCTTGTCCTTGACATATTGATAGCAACGGATTACATAACAAAATGGGCTGAAGCTATAGCTATAAAAACTGATAGTGCAAGTACAGTAGCAACCTTTTTGTATGAAAATATTATTATATGGTTCGGTTGTCCACGAGAATTGGTTAGTGATCAAAGAACTCATTTCATAAATAATACAATCGAAGCACTCACGCCTAAATATGAGATAAAACATTGAAAGACTGTACCATTTCACCCTAGAATCAATGGACAAATGGAAAAGACTAATAGAATTTTATGTAAAATCTTAACAAAAATAGTTTCAAGAGTGGGAGCAGATTGGGACACTAAGTTGTTTGCAGCTTTATGGGCATACCGTACTGCATATAAAGCTATTACCAATGCTACCCCTTTCCAATTGGTGTATGGCCAAGAAACAATATTACCTATTGAATTGGAAGTCCAAAGTTTACGAATTGCTATAGATACTAGATTGGGAGATCAGGATACATTACGAAACCATTTAGAAGAATTGGAAAAATTAGATGAAACTAAAGTCAATACATTAATAATAATGGAAACTACCCAAAAACAGAGGAAGACTTATTATGATAGTAAGCTTAGACTAAAGGCTTTTATGCGAAATGATTTGGTACTTATTCATGATAGTCGATTTAAAAAATTTCCACGAAAATTTCAAGTTCGATGGCATGGACCATATCAAGTTATTGAAGGATTTTCAAATAGTTCAGTACAATTGGAAGATTTCATGGATACAAAATTTACTATACGGATTAATAATAATCGGCTTAAACTTTACTATCCATAAACCCGGGATGGGATTTTCTGTTACAAAATGGGGAGTCGGCTGAATTGATTCGACCATAGTAAGAAGTAGGAGGGGGGCTCTTGACAAGCATCATGTTTTTTTTTGTGGTTAAGGAGAAGATGGTGAATATGGTATCTGAGACAGTAAGGATAGAGACCGATTGGAAGAAACGGCAAGAACGGTTGCAGGTAGAGGTTGCGATGTTACAGACTAAACTAGTTGCATTAGCAAAGGAGGCCAATAATTTAGTGCTGACCAATATACCAATTTCAGCGATAACACCTTCGGAGATACATTTGAAATCGACAGAAGAATGGTAGAAGATGTTGGAGGAGCGTGACAATCAAATTGCCCAACGTGAGTCTCAGGTATGGGAATTGGGTTTGTTGAATGAAGATCTGATGGCGCGTTTGGATGGAGAACCCTCAAACACTGAGGTAGATGACGAAGATGTATAGATGAGAAGGTCACCAATTCAAAAGATTGTAAGCCAATGCTGCTACATCTTTATAAGTTGAGGCTTAATAATATTTGCGAGGACACTGCACAATTAGGAGTGGGGCTATGTAGAATAGGTAAATAAACTTTGTGGTAAGTTACTGGTTGGATATTGATAACCTTAAGAATTAGACTGATGGTTAGGCAGTTTAGTTGGTAACAGTAAGTTGTTAGTGGAATAAATGGTTAAGAATTCAAAGGGTCATAACCTTTGGAATCCGCTGGCTGATGGATCATCTTTTTGGTAGGATAAATAGGTTGAGGAAAGTAAGCCGAGAGCCAGACTAAGAGAGTCGTAAGTCGGGGTAAGCTTGGTGCTACCTCTTTGTTTTCTTTATTATTTGCTTATGAAAAATGGTAATTGAGAGAAGTATTGTTGAATTGATAATCGTAGAATGGATTATGGGTTGAATTAAGACAGAAGTAGGAAGCCTTGGTGTTTTGTAGTTTGATAATTGATTTCAGATAGCCAGAGTACAGTCAATTGTGACACTAACAGACCCAATTCATATAATCAGTCTTTCCCCGTGTTCGAACCCACCTCTATTAGTTCAATTGCTTTGGTCTACTGAAGCTTGAATGCAATGAGAACAACAATTATGTATGTTTTGTAGATACCATAGTGTTTAAAAATGTTGAAATTTTTTCATAAAATTTACATTCTCATGGTTTTAAAATATTTATAGAAAAATACTATATTAATATCATAAATTATCTATATTAATCTACCATCTTCTTTGTGTACCAGTATCAAATTTAATGTACACATATTATTCTTGAAAAGGTTGTTTTGTACAACAAATTGTATGCTCTTTATTATTGAAATATCTGCTCTGTCATTAAACATAATATTGTCAACTTATGATTAATTAAATGTAAGTTATATTCATTTCCAATGTTGAGAATATTATGCAGATAATATAAATAAATTAGTAATGTAAAGGTCTTAACGTCTGCTAACCTTTTGGAGTTAAAATATAAACTCTCAGCAAATAGAACCTGAAGTTTCCAGTGACATGCTGTTTTGAGACTCAAGTAAGAATATTCATTGTACTACAGGAACGTCATTTTCTTCTCATTTCAAGTTTATCATGTAACAAATAAATTGGGAAGTGGGTAAGCCAACTTAGAACTTATCCTACCTTAACAAGTTTTATAGAAAAGAAGCCATATAATCCTAATCGAAGAAATATGCATCTTTAAGTTTTAAGAAAGATAGATAACCAGCAATCCAACATTGTGCAAATCCTACTTGGAGACTGGACTTGCCCAACTGATAACAGTGAAGGGCCTTTTGTCTACCAGTGTCAATCAACTGTAATCCTAAGATGATTCTCCAATATAAGCACTTTGAACTATACAAAATGAACTGATTACTAACTAGGTAAGTATCTTTTTACAAAATACAAAAAATAAGTGACTTCATCTGTTTGAACAATGGAGAACTCGGAGAGATGTTCTCAAGATCATCATCTCAAGCTGAACCTGATAATTGTAGCAACCAGTATAACTGAGAAAAGGTAAATAGCAATACGGTATCTAGGGCTATGAGTCTTGTGTGCAGTTTGAAGGATTTCCTCTGGTGAACTTCTTCCACTCTTCCCAGATTTCTTCTTACGAGACTTCAGCTTTGATTTCTGTGATGCACCGGGAGGTTGCTGAGAATCTGAGGTATCCTCCAACATGATCTGGAACGGAACAATGTCACGCAGAAATGTAAGATCGAGAATCTTTTTAATCTACATTTTCTTCAATGCATCCTTCAACGCCATTTCGCACTTGAATTGTTCAAATAGAGCACTCTAATGATTCTGATGTCATCATTCAATCAAGTCCATAACCTTTTACTACACTAATCGTAGCTTTAAGTTGTGATCCAAATCAAAAGAACTTGTCTTAAACGACCTTGGGGCACTAGAATATAGCTATTAAAATCAGGTTTTCCGAAATTAGAAATTAACTTCGCAGGAACTATACGAAATGGTGGCAACATACCTCATCAGTAACCTTGTCAGCAACCTCATCAGTAACCTTGACCTCAAGTTCAGCCTTAAGCTTTTCCAAAACATCGATCTCCTTGAGAGAAGCATTCTCTGCTTCTAATTTCATGACCGTGTTCTGTAAAGAATTGATTTTGTCTCTGAGTTCAGTTGTTGGTTTCTGTAAGATTAACACATCAGCTTAATTTAGCTGGTATGAAAACTTTTGATAAACGACTTTTTCATAATCTTTGGTTAGGCAGAACGAGGACAATAGGGCGTTCATTAAGGAACTAAAGTAAACAAACATACCACTGATACCTGATTAAGAAGAGAGCTCTGCAATGAGCATATTTTCTCCTCAGCTGCGGCTACTTTTCGTTGCACCTCCACCAACTCTAAATTCTGCACAAAAACGACACAAAAGTTTTAAAATAAAGCCTTGTGCACAATTAGTAACAAACCAAATTCAAAGCAGTTAAATGGTAGAAATTAAAATCGTGAAACAAGACTCCCACCTGCTCATATTCTCTGGTTTCTGCAGCCCGCAAGCTAAGTTGCTGCTTTTCGAGGCGTGCTTGTAAATACGGCAGTTCTGATGCTTGCGCTCTTAAACTGTGTAACTCTATGACTTGCGCTCGTAGCGACTGCACTTCTCCCTCAAGAAAAACTTCTCGAAATGATTTTTTCGGCTCTATAGCTGGCTTGTCTTGAGGATTTTGCAAGTCTTTAGTTTTTGACTTCAACACCTCTAATTCGCTCTTTAAGCTTGTGTTTCTGTAAGCTACGTCTAGCACCTGCTTCACGAAAACCAAACATTACAACCACGAAACCAATGGTTGTGCTCAATAAGTTTACTATCACAGATGTCCTGCGCATAGGAATCTCACACTATAATCGCGAAACTAATGAGTGTTTCATGAAACTAATACTTGAGATCAAACTAGCAAATCAAAATTATTTGATTTAAAAACATCAATACATATGTCTATGTATGTCAATTGCATGATTTTACCTGAAAATTCAAACACTTTCGTTCAAGGGACAAAAGCTCTTTACACATTTGGAGGGCTTCAGACCCGTCACACAGCTGCACACCCCTGAGCGCGAGGTGCAGACCCTCCACCCTCGCTTGCAAGGCCTGCCTGTCTTCGTGTCCTAGAATCGTAGCTGTAGGTACTCGTTGCTCCATGTCCAAGCATTCTTCTCTCAGCCCGTGCAGTGACTCGGCATGTTCTATCATCACAGATGCAGCTTCCTCAGCCCACAAGCGTTGCTCTGCAATGCTCGCCTTGGCTTTCAGATTTTCTTCTTGTAGTTGATTAATCTGAGCTTCCATTGACTGTACTCGAATATTGTGGTCAGCAGCTAGTGACGAGGCTTCTTCCTCTAATTTGGAAGCAAACTGTTCATGAATAACATTATTCTTCTCTAACGATTCCACGTCCTTCTGAGAATTCTGTTCCCTTCCATTCAATTCTTGTAATTCCAAACTGAGCTCACCCAACATAACCTCCAGATTCTTTATCTGTGTCTTCAGAGCAAGGCACAACTCACAAACTCTTGGAGTCTCCAATTTAGCTTGAAGATCAATGGTCTGCGCCTCCAGCAACGCATTTCTGCTCTCCACGCCCCTTAGCCTGTCACAATCCAGCGTCCACTTCTGTTGCTCAGATACGTGAGCAGCAAGTTCCCCTCTCACAGAGTTCAACTCTTCTTCCAGAATGGCGCTCTTCTTCTCCAGATTACATGTATAGTCAGCATACGATAACTTCAAACCTTCAAAAAAGGAAGCACTATCTTCCAAGGCCTTCACTTCTTGTTTCATCATGTCCTCATTTCCTCTCAAGGATGATATCTCCTGTTCAAGCTGACTCACTTTCGCTTCCAGATCTTTCACATGTTCCTGCAGCTGTGACTTGCTCACCTCAGACTCGCAAGCATACAATATGTGAGCAGATTGTAGCTCAGTGAACTCCTTCATCAAGAGTTTTGACTGTGTCACATGAGCAATAACGTTCTCCCCCAGAAACTTCAGTTCATCTTCGATACTGTTGCTCCTTCCATGCGACATGGCCAAATCCAGATCTACGCTGGAGGCGTGACCATCCATAGAATTACCTACCAAGACCTCATGAAGAGGACTTGAAGAGGCCTCGTGAACAACGGTCTTCTCTTCCACGGATCTTAAATCATCCTCTACCTTCTTCTCCCTGCCTCTGTACATCTGAAGCTCCTGTTCTAGAGAGTCTGCTTTATTTCGATACATGTTGAGTGCCTTGTCAAGGTCCACCCTTTCACTGTCAGACTGCACCTTGTGGCTCGAATAGAAAGAGATTTCTTCGCTGGTACGTTTCAATTGAGAATTCAAGTCTGCAATTACTGACTCCAACTCTTGGTTCTTTCGAGAAGCAGGCTCCATACACTTTTCAAGTTGAACAATCTTCTCTTGTGCATCTTTGACACTGTTCTCCAGCTGAAAGATCGTGTTTCGATATTGCTCAGCTTCATCATGTGCCTTCTTGAAGTTCTTCACAAGTTGATCTTCTGTCTCGAGAAAGAGAACCTTCTCGTACTCAACTTTTTTCTGTGCCTCATCATTACTCTTCGATTTCTCTTCCAGAGCAGCAATCTGCTGGTCACACAGGAGTCACAAAATTAGAACAAAAAGAGTGGCACATTAGAACTATTTTACACACAACTAGAAACCATCAACTGCATATAAGCAAACTCGTGATAAGAGACGGTACTTCATGCAGAATGTCTTTGTGATGATCTTAAAAAAGGAGTCGAATATTGCGGGATGCTCCAATCCAGATGAAGGGAATGCATGGAGGACAGGGACATACCCAACAATACGACGTCTGGCAATTGAGGAAGAAAAAACTGGACAGACCCAAAAGACAGAGCATTCGCATGGCTTGACAATCGATATATACCTGGATTTGTCCAGCCGTGAGCAGTTCCTCCAGTTCTTTTACCTTCTCTAGTAACGCATTAGCATCATCAAACTTTTCAAACATATTTGCTTCAAGTACTTTCACCTGCAAAGTCGTCAAATTTCAAAGAAAAATGAGCCTAGAAGTAAGAACCACGAGAACCGCAATCACAAATCTCACCACACTAAACTCCTCAGGATGTTAACCAATGACGCAAGGATTCCTCAATCTTAAGGCTGAAGCAAGGTGTTAAATTATTTACCTGTCTTTCAAATGTCAATGTCTTCCGCTCTGCAGTGTTATACATATCCTCCAACCTTTTGGCATGAGCAATTGCTTTTCTCATTTCCGCCTCTTTCAGCTTCAATTTGTTCTCAAGATCATTTGGCCCTTCCTGCTCCACAACTATGTATTCATCGTCTGACTGCGTTTTAGGGCTCTCAAGGTCTGGAGAGCTCGGAGTCAGAGAATATGTCGAGCCCACCTCAGCTCTCTTCAATTTCTCCGTTAAATCTTCAACTTGATCCTCTAACATGCGGATTCGCTGCAACAAAGGCAGAAATCGAGTTAATTGATTTCCTGATACCTCGTGAATGAAAGGATTCTCGGCACGTATGCAATAAAAAAGATCATTTACCTCGTCCATGGAAAGCTCGGCATACTGTAGATTCAACGCAGACACACGCTTGGTGTCTTCCTTCAAATCAGCCTTAACTTGACGCGCTTCTCCGTGTGCCTTCGCCAATTCCTCCATCAGAGCCTCCGAAGAAGTTTCCGCCATCGTCGTCAATAAACGGAATACCACATGAAATCAAGTTTACCCGTAAACCTGCACACACAAATGCAAATTAACATTCGCTGATTCATTTAATACGGACTGCCATCCATCAATACATAGCCAATTTCGGACAAAACTCCAACAAGTCACCTAAATTGTTCCAAGTCTCTACCTATCTCGGAGATGGCCCGGAATGGGCTCACTCACGAACCCAAGGTGAATTGTAACAAAGATTAAGACCAGGGCCCTAAATTTTCTCGATAAGGCTCGTCTTGAGAGCTAGCTCCAGACCCTAAGACCCTTCGAAGAAACAGAGCATAAAGTGGATGCAATCCAGCTTAAATCGTAGCAACGGTTCTTACAATCCAACGATAACGTAAGCGAACCCCAGATAGAGCAGTACAATACAAACAACAATTGTAGTGTCCACGACGTCCGGAGGCTCAAAACGCAACCCAATGCGACGTTGAAAATCAAGGTAATGCGTGCGGCATACGCGTCTTAAAACACGTCAGAATGTCTGCTGCCTCGAAGGAACACAATCAGTGACTCGGGCTGACTTTATGCATTATTGGTACTTCCGTAACTATAATGAACAAGCAGACGAGACATGAGTTGAACTACTTCGGAGCTGTCTGTCCTTCGCCCAGTCAATTTATCCCCTTAGATCAGAGCAGCCAGAATGCCCCCTATACTGCATGAAATGCAATGACCCGGAGCGAGGGATCTCATATATCATGGTTTGCGCGCCGACAAATTCGGGTGCCAGCACGAAAATTCAAAATCACACAACCTGAGGCATTGAAATGCGCATTCCCTCCACGTCTGTGCACGTAGCCCACACGAAAAAAAGGACAAATATTGAAGGTTAAACCCAACAGAGGAAAGCAAGAGAGCTCGCGTTGCAGACGCAACTTCCAAGTCGATAACTACACCATCGATGTCCAACTACCTTCGCAGATACACAGATGAATCCCAGGTGCTCGGACTTCCAAGTCTGTGTGATCGGGCAGCGCCGAAGGGCAAGTCCTCCAATCGGCAGGCATCCACTTCACCGAGACATTCTTCGAGGGGCAAGCGCTACCATTGCCGAATCCCCACCGCTTCGTCAGACCGAAATGGTGCCCACCACGAGAGAGATTGCAAGGGGCACTCACTGACTGTAAAGCTGTCCTGAAGGAGATGAAACGCAAGCTCTTCTCTAGAAGATCGTTCCCCCACGGCACTGCACTGCAATGTACAGCAGCCGCGGGCGATCCCGGAGATAGCGAGCTCACCCTCCCCCACCATCAAAACCCACAAGCCTTAACAACCGGAGCAAGACAACGACAGAAGGCTTCTCTCGGACGACGACGACGACGACAAGCCAACGCGGCACGCCGATCGTGCTCTTCTTGACGAATTGCCGCGACTACTCGACAACGATCTTATTTTTCGTCGATATCTTCCAATCCACCACGCGAATCCGTGCCCGCGCTGAAGGCAAAACCGTGACAGTCTTAACCAATCGGTTGACACCTAGATTTGCTGACATAGACAGTCCATCCCCGGGGTGTGCTGACGGGGCGGACAATAAATGGCTGCTAACCGGGAGCTTGTGGTAGGTTGCAGTCGTGGACATCCGAGCTGGATCGTGTAGGCGTACGTGGCCTTATTTTTCACGGTCGTGAAGAGTGGCTGTTGATGAGAATATTGCGGATGGATGAAATAAACGTCGTCTAGCCAGAGTATATGGATGAATGATCCCTATATGTTTGGATCTATTAGCTGGACGAGTTTCAGAATGGGTGGATTCAGAAACCTTTCCAACCATTTATTCCCTTTTAAAAACAGAATTAGGTGCTTCCGAATGGATGATGGATGAATCACCCACGTGTGACTTGGATTGCAATTGTTTTGCAGAAACAGCTAGGCAGTCAGTTTGTGGAAGAATTGAAAGTTTGTTGTTGTTGTTGTTATTTCTAGGATTACGTCATTTCATGTGATTATATGGAATATTCCAGATGCATTCTATAAAATATTGATTGATTAGAGTAAAGTACTTGAAATGAACTCTTGGTTCTGATGGACACACACAAGAAAACATCATTGATATTTTATTCTCAGAGAAAAAAAAGAAAAAAATTGCCAAAGATGACTTTACAATATTTTGTAATCATAAGTAGACAAGTTTATTATTGGTTTTGGAACTAGATGAAAATTAACACATTACCTGCTTCGCTTATTTGTTTATTTACGCTAGTACAATACACTTCAATTTGATACATACATAGCTTGAGTTTTGTTAGTAGCCATGGTTGAGTTTTGCCAATGCTGTTTTGCATTATTTTAGTACAATATGCCATCCTCTTGTAGTGTAAGAATGTTCCAGATCTCATTTTAAAAATAATTGTACACATACTTATCATGTACTCACCAATGATGGACTTGAGATGAATGAATAACTGATGCAGTATGAATATACATATATGTAAATATAATCTTATTATAGAAAAGTGTGCTGGTGACCTCAAATCCAAAAGCATGCCTCTTGGATTACATTTTGTCCTTGTAGAAGTTCTTCCATTTCTTCTTCATACGTTATGACCTCATCTTCAATGTCATCACTCCGCACTGAATGTGTTGAAGGCATTTTAAATTGTGGGTCGTTATACAATTCAAACAGGATCACATTACCTGTTCACAGTTTCAGGGATCAGTCTCTTGCTTATTTAGTGCACAGCAGTGGTCAGAATGTGGCCGCAGCTTATGGTTTGCGGAACATCTGCAGCACTGTTCATGTCCTTTCATGATCCAGATCCTGCTCTAGAAAAGTGGCCAACAAGTAAACCTTAAGAAGATGACATATCGGACTCATTTCCACTTGTGCAAGTGTGCGTCGATCCAGATATGTCCTACCCTAGAACATCTGGGTTTCAGAGTTTGGCATAACTGAATCCCTCTGACGAAAATGTGTGATCCACTGTGTCCAGATTCCGATCTGTGATCTGCAGTTTCTGATGTAACGTAAGCAGCATTACCTGAAAGCTTTAATCTTGTTTTCGATGGCAAGAATCTTTCACGTGCAAATTTCGATTGAAGGACGGCGATTCAAGAAAGCTGCTAACAATAATGGCTATTGGATTGATGCGACTGGTGCAACAGTAGAAGGCTATCTTGATGGCCAAATCAGAGGCAATGCAGACCTAGAAATTTTCGGCATTCATCTCTATGCGAGTGCTGAAAATATTGTAGCAGTGCATGCGCATTCAATGTCGATGGCCGGTGAGCAGTCGTGCATATATGGTGCAGCGAATACATTTGTCTAGATCGCAATAGTCTACAGTCTGTCCTGTGGTGGATTAAAAGTTGCCGGCCGGTCAACTTGTGGAATATCCCATCTCTGATCAACTTCCCTTTATTACAAGGGATAAGGGTGTGTTTCAACTCAATCCCCAAATAAAGTTTCGCATCTTTTAAGTCAGTCATCTTGAAGGTGCTCATTAATTTATCCTTAAATTGTTGAATGTAAAATATATCATCTTCTATCACAATCATATTATCCACATAAAATAATACTATTATATATTTTTTATTTTTAATTATGGAATACATATTGAAATCTTCATTGCTTTTTTGAAGTTTTTAATTGCAAAGGAAGGAGTCTAATTATCTATAACATGCTTTGGTGGCTTAACTAAGGCCATATAATGCTTGTTCTAATTTACAATTTTTTCTTTGCTTCCTTTCTATTTGAAATCTAGTGGTAGTATCATATAGATATCTTCATTTAGTACATTGTTAAGAAAGACTATTTGTTTGTTTAAGTGTTGTATTTTCTAATTTTTCATTGGTGCCAAAGAAATTATTCTTTTGAATGTTGACTACCTAATTATAAGTGCAATTTTTTTGAAGAAGTATATTTCTTCTTCTTGCTCATATTCTTAAGCTACCATTCTAGTCTTTAATTTTTCAGATTTGCTACTAGGACCTAATTTGGTTTTGAAGATCTACTTTGACAATATTTGGGCCTTTCATTCAAGTAAATCAACTAGAATTCAAGTGTTGTTTTATAATATTGATTCAACTTCTTATTTGATTGCTTCTTACCATCCAATATGTTGCATAGCTTCTTTGTAGTTTTTGGATTTAATATTATTTTTTAGTGCAAATATATAACTATTCTTAAATTTAAAGTTTATTTTATTTTTTTTATTTTGAATTGGATATATTTTCTAACCTCCTTGTTTTATGGTTTTTTAGTGAAGAACTTATATAAGTACACCATCCAAAGCCAGATCAATTAGATTGCTTATTGATATTGAAGGGATATTTGCGCTCTCTTCTTTGTCTAATGAGTTATATTCAATCATGAGATTTTGTTTTTTTTCTTACTAAATTATAGTAATACTTGTATCTTTAAGTAAAAGATCATCATATGGAAACAAGTCTATTTTGTCTTCTAGGATTGTATTAGACTTGATATAATATATAGAGTCAAATATCCTATGGACTTTTGTTTGATTATCATACTATAGGAATGAATACTTAATGATTTTTCTTTCTAATTTTGATCTATTTTCTTTTGATATATGTAGGTATACTACGGATCTAAATATCTTCAAGTAATCTAAAGATAATTTAGTCCTATTATATAGTTTTTTTGAAGTAATCTTTCAATTAGCTCTAATAGAATTAATGTTAACCAAGTAGTTAATACAATATATGGCTTCAAATCATAAGTAGATACATAATTGGCACACAATTGATATCAAGCATGTATTTTTTACTATAGTTTAATTGTACTTTTTGCTAATTCTATTTTATTGTAAGATATGTGCCATTATAAGTTGTTAACTTATCCTAGGGAGGATCAAGAAGTTATTAAATACTTGAGTTAAGTATTCATCTCCTCTGTTTGTCTTTAAGCGCATGATTTTTTTTATTTTTTTTTTATTTTTTTTATAGTATGAATTTGCATTTAAATTCTTAGAATTTTCTAAAGATTTTGTGTTTATTATGTAAAAATAGATCTAATTAATATAAGAATACTACAAAGTATTTAGAGCCTTCTAAGAATAGAGTTTTTATTGAGCCAACTAGATCAAAGTATACAACTTGTAGTACTTTTTTTGCATGATGAATTGAATTTTTTAGAAATTTTACTCAATCATATCACTCCACCATAAAATTTTTAAATGTTACTCAAGGAGTGCTAAATAGTTGCAATTCTTATATCCAATGGACTTTTGATAGATATTGTAGTCTAATATAGTGTAAGTATTAAAACCTTCTATAGCATAACCATGTTTCTTTTTCTATATTTATTATATTTGCTTCAATTAATTTTGATTCTATTTCTTTCTTATGAAATTGATAAAGTCCATACTATTTATTTCTTATTCCTATGACTATTAACATTTCATTGTGTTCCTTGTCTAGTATTAGACATTATTTGTTTGTGAATACAATTAACTTGCTATTGTCTCTCAATAAGTGTATTAAGATCATGATGTAATTTAAGACATAAACATACAAAATATTGTGAATTTTTACTGCACCATATCTTGTAGACATAGTGGAGATATAAGTGGCTTTAATCCTATGGAGTTTAATGTCTACAAGTTTTATTGCCCTATTCAAAGTTTGTATATCTATCAATAAGAGGTTTGATATCTCTCTAGTGAAATGATTACTTATTCATGAATCAACATACTTGTTTCTACTATGGTAGTCAACAAGATTTGC